AACCTACGTTTTGGCCACAGGAGGCGATGATGCAGCGCAGAGGACCGAAAAAAGAGGAGGAGAAGAAGAAAAGGCGGCAATGACGAAACATGCGGAAGTTATCACCAGTGAAACAACAACGCGCCAAATTTGTGGCAAACTGTGTTCAGTCACATCGTCAGACTCATGAAGAAGTTCGTCTAAACTTTTAGAATAACTGCATGTGGAGAAGGCTGCAGTGAGAAAAGGCTGTGCAGGTAAAATAATCAAGTAATTAATGAAGAACGTGTCATCTACTGAGCTCATCGTCTTCTTCTCTCTCCTTCATGGTGACATTTAAAAGCGCTGCAGATTTACAGAGTCACAGTTTGACAGTAAATATTCAGCGGGCTGTCCAGATGTAACAGGCTCTGTGCTCAGTAAAAATATTAGATATGTGTAAATATTAGCTTAGAAAATGTTCTCCATGTGTGTGTTTTCCTGACAGACTGATTTTATCCTGTGTTTCTGCCTTTAGTATGGCGGTGCCTTTTGTGCAGGACTGGGACCTGGTCCAGACTCTGGGAGAAGGAGCCTACGGAGAGTATGAATCATTTTAAATCTGCCATTTTTTCATAGCAAAGTATCTGCTGGACATTTTAGGAACATTGGAGGAGTTGATCTGATGAACAGAAAAGTCAGTCACAAGAGACAAGAGCAGCACATTTATGCAACTTGCATGCTCACTCCATCTGTTATTGATTAGTATTAATGCTGGTGAACCAACAAAGCGAGCTTAGAGTTTAAACACAGCATACCTTGTTAATAAGAGGTCGATCAGATGAATATGCACATTAAAGGTACTGTGCTCGGACCTTTTTTAGCAAATTAATGAAAGGTGATGAAAGTCAGTTTTACAGCTCAAAATGTCACAAAGATGGTTTGATTGAGGATGACTGTATAGCCGCTGGGTTAAGGCTGCATTTTAAAACACATGCTTTGTTTATTATTATTTTAAATGCATACTACAGAAGCCCTTACACAGTACCTACAGTTTGAAGCACTGAGCATACGATTGGGACATATTACTTTGCCATAATGATGCACCTTAAACTTTGACTATCGCAGTCTGAAATTAGCTGTCTGTGGGCTCTCAGCAGCTTAAACGTGTTTATACTTGTGCGAGACACTGTTATGTAGCTGTGCAGAGCATTATGGGTCAGATTGGCCGGGAAAGCATTGCAGGCTTGCATACTGCAAAACCTTACCGTCCGTAATAGGTCATCTCAGTGTTTTTAGTAAACTGCATTTGACATGCTAAATCTTTTTCAAGTATAGTATATAGTACGGTAGTGTGGATATTGGAACGGGCCCCTAAATGTCTGCAGTTTTAAATGTGGTTGAGCTCCTGCCGTCTGTGCCCCCTTCAGGAAGAAGACTCTCTCTGCTGGTGCTTGAAAGCTCAGAGCAAAATGACGACCACACGTAAATGACTCTAAAATAACTGCCGGTTAACATGTAGTCTAGTGTTTCAGTAACCATTTTATTTTTTTGTTTCGTTTCTGACCACAGAAACACAAATATGTAGAACTCTTGTGTTTGCTCTTGCAGTCATTAACAGAACGTTTGACCGACTTTCCTGTGGCTGAGACATTTATAAGTTAGCAGAAGGCAGCTCCAGAAAGTAAAAACTATGAGTGTGAGGCAGCTGCTCTTTCTGAATGCTTCACCTCAAATGCAGGAGCAGTGGGGGAACATTGATTCTGCCAGTCTTTGTTGGTTATACAGTTTCGATGTAGAAACTGGATGAAATTCTTACAGAGAGGCCCTCTAGTTGTGGGGTAGCCTGAGGAATGACTGTAGTAAATGTCTTCGTATTCTCACAGTTTTTATTTTACACCTTTAAGTTTTTAGGACATATAAAAGGAGAAGTGGGTTTTCCTCATATAGGACCTTTAAAAACATAAAAGCTACTCCCCATATGCATTTTATTCTAACACAACTAACTTTACATAAACATCTCAGTTTGGGTCTACTAGTAAAATTAATGCCATGTTCATATGAATATTGTACAAATCAGTTCAGTTAACAGACGAGAAAACTGTTTGTTGCAACTATAATGCACAGTTTGGATTATCAGTTCCTCTGCTGATGCGATACTCTACAACAAATGTGACTTTAAGCTTCTTCTTTTTTTTTTTCGCTGGCTGGAGTGATTGACAAAGTCTATTTTCTTCATGCCAAATGCCAACTAATGGTTTTTCATGTCTGCTCTGTTGTCTTTCCTCTTCCCGTCCAGAGTGAGGCTGCTGGTGAACAGACAGACGGAGGAGGCGGTGGCAGTGAAAGTGATCGACACCTCGCAGGCTAAAGAGTGTGCTGAAAATGTCAAGAAAGAGGTCTGCATTCATAAGGTGGGTCAGTCACCTTATGTAGAGATGGTTTATCTAGAACTTTACAAAGTACAATTGTCCATCAGATTTGTTTTGGGGGGGGTTAGTCTTTAGTGGTTTTGTTTAACTGTTATACTAACAAGGCCTCAACAAAGTTATTTGTGCGGACCTTTGAGTGATAAGGCTTCTTGTGCCTCATGGATAAGCTGACCTGCTTAACACAAACAGGAGTGGATGAGAGACAAACCTTCACATGAGAGAGAGAGCACACGGTTAATATATGACGTGCATAAAAGCAGCATGTGCAGTAAAACCAGTAAAATATAACATTTCCATCACAGTTACCACTGGCTTAATGGCACTTCTTACTGGCTGCAATACATCAGTGTTAGTAATGCTTGTGGGATACATAATGATCGATGCTGTGGTTGAGAAAATCATGTCTTAAATTGTTAATCTTTTTGTTAATTTTGTAGCTTATGTGTACACTACTGATCCCACAATGCACTTATGACGCACTTCTGTAAGAAATTTATTACCACAAACTGGATTTAATTGCTGTTATAAAGCACATGTAAAATTAATTGAAAATGTTAAATTAATTAAAAATATATGCTGTTTTTTAACGAGGAATGTTGCACAGGAACCTCGATGCCATATGCATTTGTATTACGTTTACGTTTTGTTGTTGTTGTTTGGTAGATGCTCAACCACTCCAACATCGTGAGATTTTTTGGCCACCGGAAGGAAGGACAAACTGTTTACCTCTTTTTGGAGTACTGCAGCGGAGGAGAGCTCTTCGACCGCATCGGTAACACAGACAACATTTATTTGACTAAAAACAAATTGTGATACAACACAGTTTCTTAGCTTCCTGATTGCTGCTTGTTGTTAGCAGATACTTCAATTCAGATTTACTTGCTTAGCCAATCTGGCTACACTTGAACACTGAAACATGGCGTCTGATGTTTTGCCGCCTGTATCCTCTTACTTTCGTCTTAGAGCCTGATGTGGGGATGGCAGAGAAAGATGCTCATAAGTTTTTCCAGCAGCTGATAGCAGCTGTGGTGAGTGAAGCAAATCAGTGTGTTGATGTGACCTCCTGCTCCTGTCTCTGCTGTTATTTAATTCTCCTGCCTTCTACAGGAGTACCTCCACAGCGTTGGCATCACCCACAGAGACATAAAGCCAGAGAACATCTTGCTAGATGACAAAGGTGAGGAAATACGATGTGAATCAAGGTGCTGAAAGAATAACTTGTATTCATTCTGACCATCATCTGCTGCGGTTCTGTACCTTCAGACAACCTGAAGCTGACAGATTTCGGCCTGGCCACCATGTTTCGGTTCAAAGGTCGAGAGCGCCTCCTGGGTCGACTCTGTGGAACTCTTCCATATGTGGCTCCAGAGCTTCTCAGCCAAACAGAGTTCAAAGCTCAGCCTGCAGATATCTGGGCTTGTGGGATAGTCCTCACTGCCATGCTGGCTGGAGGTATTTTACATGACTAGAAAAAAAGACTATCTTGGGTTATCTTTTCTCTCTGTGCCATTAGGTATTGCAGCGTTTTTTGTTTTGTTTTGTTTTCATCTTTGTGTTGCTTCTTTGTTAGAATTGCCGTGGGATCAGCCAACTGAGAGCTGCCAGGAGTACTCAGATTGGCTTCAAAAGAAAACATATCTACCTCCTTGGAAGAAAATTCAACCAGTGCCTCTTAGTAAGTCCCAAATTATATAGATTTACATACCATGTTTTCTAAATTGCCTTTCCTCAATTCTTCTTCAACTTCTCTCTTCAGGTTTGTTGTCCAGATTACTGCTGGCCCGTCCAGATGCACGCATCACCATCACAGACATAAAGAAAGACCACTGGTTTACTCATGGCAAGTCCCAATATGAGTATAACAGATTCAATTTCATTTTGTTTTACTGGACTGACGTCTGTCTATCACTTCACTGTAGGTGCAAAGCAAACACCTGGTTCTCTGAACTCAGAACGGAACAAACTTCTTCGATCTGACAGTGGACTCATATCCCGGGCCAAGAGGTCAAAGCTTTTTGTTTTTCAGATTTTAGCTCAGATTTTCTTTTCTGTTTGTAATCTCAAGACCGTCTTCCTCTTTCTGTAGTGATGACAGGATGCAGTTTTCCAGCTCTCAGCCGGATCTAGCAGCAGGTGGCTTGGAAGCCATGTTGTTAACTGGTCAAATCAGCTTCTCCCAGCCGACCAAGCCTGAGCACATGTTACTGTGTAGTCAGCTTCTCGGCACACCGGGAGCCAGTCAGGTAATTCACATACTCAGTGCTGCAGCGGTTTCATCACGTGAATGTTACTTTGGCAAAGAAGAGCTGTGTGTGTGTGTGTTGTTTTGTTTTGTTTTTTTCGGTTATCAAGCTGTCTCCCTCTGATTTAAATGCACCTCGCTTTCTTTCCACACACAGTCACCGTGGCAGAGATTAGTGCGGAGAATGACGCGCTTCTTCACCACTGTGAATGCCGACGCCTCTCTATCGGCTCTGAAAGACACCTGTGATGGTCTGGCACTTGGATTCAAACTCACCTGCACCAAACAGGTACGTCTGTGCTGAAGCATACAGAATTCGAACAATTTCAAATACTTTTTTTTTTTGACATTGGTGGGTAAAGGAGGGACCTGTTTCTGCTCATACGTCTCGATTCAAGCCTCCTATAGCTGCTACCAACACTATCACACACTTCAGTTTCATGAAGCTCTCTCTGCTCTCTAGGTGACGGTGAGCACGCTGGACAAACGCAATAACAAACTCATCTTCAAAGTCCATTTACTAGATATGAATCAAAGAGTGCTGCTGGACTTCAGACTGTCTAAGGTGAGTTTAAAATGGTGGATTTAGTGTTTCAAGCATGAATGCCCGTCATCACATTCAAACTGAGACCATCATGTCATTATCAATAAAACCTGAAACAGATGCTGTTTGTGAAATATGTTGATAAGTCACAAAAAAAAGAATTATTAAAGCAGCAACACTGTGTCCAGGAGAAAATACAACAGGGTCTTAGAGAAAAGCTCTGATGTTGATATGCATTTTGTCTCATAAGCCTGATACAAATCGATGTGACAGTCATGTTACATCTTTCAGTAGAGGTAAAGCAGAGTGTGTGACTTTTGCTTTCCCGCCACTTGCCAAATGAGTTCACACAATAGCTGGTGAACCTCTGTCGCAGCATACCGCTTTCTTAAATCAAAGTCTCAACGCATTCTGCATTAACCAGCATTGGTTCACTGACTGATGTTGAAGTGGGGATCAACCACAGTGACAAAGTAGACAACAGCAACTAGGAATATGGTGGAAGAACCATCCAAGAAAAGGTTCTGATGGTTCAGATAAGAAAGAAATTTTGTTTTTAGATGAAAGATTACAGTTTGAAAAAGAAAGGGATCAACTGTGAGCCATACGTCCAAAGCATGTGTTGACGGTGCTTGTGTACTTTCACTGCCAGAAGTGAGACAAACGCTCTGCACTGCCAGGATTTCAAACTATTAGTGACACAGCTCATAGAGCCAAATAATGTATTTCGAAAACCTGGATTGCCTCAAAAAAAAAAGTGGACTCCTGCAGTTGCAACAGTCAAATTTGAACACATAGACCTGATACATGTAGTTTTCATAGCATTACTTGTTTTTCTGGAGTATTTCACCTCTGATATCCATCATCTAATCCAGTGATAGGCAGTGATACAGTGTCACCAGCTAGTTCACCTCGTTTTAGCCGTACCTCTTTGCCAGCAGATGGAGGCAAAGGAAGCAAGTTGTGCCCTGTTAAGTGTATTTGCGCATAGTTTATAAAACTAAGCTGAATCATGTGATACATTGCGATGCAGTTGCAGAATTGGCTCCATATTGACAAGAAAAAGTGGCAGCCACTGTGAATGAACTTTAGCTTTTCATCAGTCATTTTTAAATTTGCTTCTGTTGTTTAAGAAAAAATCTAATAAATGACTTACCAGATAGTTCACAAAAATTAAAACAAAAAAATAAGACATGAAATATTTTACTTTACATGTAATGAATATCTCTGCGGGTTCTTCCTCCCACAAGGTCCAAAAACATGTTGAGGTTAATTGGTGATTCTAAATTGTCTGTAGGTGTGAATGTGAGTGTGCTTGGTTGTCTGTCTCTAAGTGTAGCCCTGTGATAGACTGGTGACCTGTCCAGGGTGTCCCCTGCCTTCACCATAAGCTAGCTGGGATAGACTCCAGCCCCCCATGACCCTAGTGAGGATTAAGCAGTGTATAGAGAATGGATGGATGGATGTAATGAATACAGCATATATGGAAGTTTCACTTTTTGAATAAAATCGTGAAAAAAAGAAAACCAATTCATATAATATTCTAGACCAGGGGTGTCGAACTGCGGTCCTCGAGGGCCGCAATCCTGCATGTTTTAGATGTTTCCCTCTTCCAACACACCTGATTCAAATGATCAGCTCATCATCAAGCTCTGCAGAAGTCTGATAACGATCCTGATCATTTGAATCAGGTGTGTTTGAAGAGGGAAACATCTAAAACATGCAGGATTGCGGCCCTCGAGGACCGGATGTCGACACCCCTGTTCTAGACGCACCAGCATGTCTACTCTTCCTTCATATTTAAAGGGTTTTGGTTTAAAGTCCAACTGCACCAGACCTGAAAGGCAGCGGCAGAAACACTTGAGAAGGTCTGAGTGCACTGAGCTCATTGTGCGAGTGTGTGTTGATGTGTCTATGTGTTTCCAGGGCGACGGTTTGGAGTTCAAACGTCTCTTTGTGAAGATAAAACAGAAGCTGGGCGACGTCGTCAGCACTCAGAAGATTTTGCTCCCCATCACATGAGCAGCCTCCACAAACAGCTGTTACGGACAAACAACCTGTACATATTTAGCTGTTCTGTTTATGTTTTACATGTATTCTGCCGTCTTCTTGAAGTGTGTGAATGTAGACTATCGTTTTCTTTTATCCGTGTGGAAACTGGTTGGGTGGGGAGACAAAACTCTGGTCATATCCTCACTTCAGTAGGTTTTAGTTTTTGGTTAGATTGTGTTAGTTAATCAAAGTTAAGTACACAGGGATAGAAGATTGTGTGTGTGTGTGCACTTCTGGCCGTCTATTTTTATGCTGTTGAGAAGACTGATGTGTTCTGATTATGTCTGACATGATACAGTCTTGAATAAATTATTAAAAGACCAACACTGTTTGTTTAATATTCTATGCTAAGTTATAAATGGGGATGACCACTGACTCAGAAAAGAATCATTTTGGTGTTCAAAGTGTGGGAGAGTTTTTGCAACTTTCATGCAAATCTAAAAGACTTATTTTAAAACATAAAAAAGGGTTTTAAGTATCAAAAAAACAAAAAACACAACAGTTGTCATGAGCATATCCCTCAATTTACTGTAGAAATCAAAGATTCTTTCATGTCCATGACTCAAATGACAAAGTTTGATAGTGAAACATGATGTACGGTAGAAGCTTGTGACTGTAATTGTAGCTGAGATGAGGTTTAAGTAACAGGCTACAGTTGGTGATGGTGCAAACTCTACGGTCTACAAAAAACAATTCCAGGTTTAATTACAAATGAAAGATGTGGGTTTCTGACTACGAGCCCGTGGCCTTGACGGTGATGGTGACGCTGACGGGCTCGTTGTCGTCTCCGGGGGGAGGGGCTTGGCTGGGAGTGGCACTCGGAGGTGAGGTGGTGAGGGGTGAAGCTGCCCTGGGTAAAGCCACGGCTGGAGCTGGAAGAAAGCAACATCGAGGTTTAGAATCCGGCAGGTGAGGAGATTGATGGTTGAAACAGACAGAGAGCCTCAAGATATGTAGACTGGAGGGACTGTAGAGTTTAAATCCTTACTGCTACTCCAGGATGAGTTATTTTGCTTGATTAGGGATCTTTCACTCTCTTGAATTAAGGAGTGGTCACATTATGTTTAATTAAGTTTTCCTCGCAATTGTTCCCAAAACAAAAAGATCCCTCTGAAAAATCGTGACAGATTTTTCAATGTTGCCGCTAATGCGTATTCTGATCATTGTAATAAAGAACCAATAAGCAGTAAACAGCAATAATGGTACAACAGTACTTGTACTTGACTTGAATTTTATGACACTTTATACTTCCACTCCACTAAATCACAGGTATAAATGTCAACCACATTTTTAAGGTGTTGTAATATTTAGATTTTGGCGTATTAATGTAAAGCAAAGACACCTGCAATTTATTAAATAATTCAATACATTACTGTAAAAATACAGCCAGTTTCCAAAAGTGCTGTTTTGTTTTTTTCCCAAAATATGGTTAAAAACTGTAAAATATTGTGCTGTTTCAAAGCCAAAAACAAAAATGACTGTTAACAGCAGGCTACTGGAAATAGTGACAGACAAAAAGATTTGCTGATGCCTTCAGAGATGCCACTTTTACATATTTTTATAATGTAATTAGAAGACTTTAGATTATCATACACTGCTGCCTTTTGGGGGGAAAAAATTCTCAATTCATAAATATGTAACTTGCCTTGTCCTTTATGCTTCATTGTTGAAGGTGTTATATGCAATTTAAAATGTTAAACAGAGTTGATAGAGCTCACTTCCGGGTAATGAACTTTAGAGACAGCAGTTGCCAGTATTTTACTGTAATTTCAAATGACAATTAGTTTCACTGTAGGAATCCTGATGTGTGCATGTGTCATCTTTAGGTTTCAGTGAGTTTATGTTTGATGTGGTGTTTGTCTTGCCTGCACTAGTTGATCCCCCAATCTCCTCGATCCCTCCCTCCGACCCTCCAACTACTTCGTCTTCTGGGAAGTTGATGTTTTCCCTCGACTGGCTGTGCTGCCTGGAAACACCAGAGAAAGAATTGGCATGTCTCTATGGATACTTAGTTGTCAGCAATATCACAAATGAGAAAAGTTTCACTCTTTGGCTAATGCTTGGACAAATACACAGATACTCACGAGCCAAACAGCATGTCATGTAGTCCTGTGGGAGGAAACACAGGGCATCAATGCAGCAGTAAGGTTATTTTAATACACAGGCCTGCGGGATGTTTTTGTGCTTGCGTGTTGTGCGACTCACGAGGGTTGTTGTTGCGGTTGCGGATTATGTACACGAGCAGCAGCATCGTTAGAATAGCTGCAAAAAGCATCCCACCTACAGCTGCTCCAATCACAGCAGGGTACATATTGAAGCGAGGTTCCGCTGCAACACATCACAGTTACACATTGCAAAATAGCACCAGTCTGACAAAGCACAGCTTTCACACTAAAGCGGTTCTCAACCCATGTCAGCGCCGCTCTCGTGGCATTCAATCGAGAAGTTTGACATTGAAGTACAACCTGGTGTACTGAGCTTTGGTGTTTCCACATGGGTTGAAAACCACAGGCACCATCCTGCACTGACACCTGATCTACAATCCTTTCTACAACCATCTGGCTTCATTAGAAACAATCCAGTCCTACAATAAATGGCTCAATTATCACAAAGAATTTACAAGGAGAAGCACACAGGGCCAGTTTGAGGAAGGGAGGTCAGGAGGAGGGAAGGGAAGGAGGTAAAAAGTGGAAGTGAGCGTGAAACCATGAGGTATGTGTCAGTGTTTGCATGTGTTTTTTGGTCGTGTATGAGTCTTTCACCTGAGTGGATAACAAAAAAAAAAAAAAAAAATGTTAGACTGTCATCAAAGTCATCGTAACTCCATCACAGCATGACACTGACATCAACAATGCTTGTACATCACCTAACTTACCTGTCACCTTTCAACATTTTCATTATTCCTTGTTTTATATCTCGTTAGTTTCACAATACATTTCTAACTGAAACCCTATCTTTCTTTACTGAAAGTTTCCTCACTCTGCTCACTTACTATACCTGGAGTCTTTGCTGCAGAGGGGTGTCCGATGGTGCGATGGTTAACAGGCCTGATGTGGAACTGGTAAGTAACAGTCGGTGTCAGGTTTCCTACTATATGACTCCTCACATCTGGGTCCCGGATGATGTTGCGGTACCAGACTGGAGAACCGATCCTCTCCTCCATCTGCTCCTTTGAACCATTGTTGCTTCCTCTCCTTTCCGGTCGCTCCGACACCCATTGGTGCTCCAGCCAGAAACCCGTCCAGCCTCCCCCTTCCTCGTTCTCTACCTGCCACTCCACCTCCACCTCGTTGCGCAGTCGGCTGTTGTACATCACTCTGATCAGGGTTGCATTGGGTGGCATGGGGTGCCCTGGTGCAGAGACAAAACAGAAGTATGCCCTTCTGCATGACCTCGATCCACTTCAGTTCAGACTGACATAAGCCACCAACAAACATTGTGCAAACATTTTTGTTCCTCAGAGGATAAAACCGACCATGACATTTCCTCTAGTGCCTCTATGAGGTTGAAATTTGAGGTTTTGAGTGAAATATCTCAACAACTATTAAATGGATTGACATTAAATTTGACATTCACATGTCATAAATTGTAGCTTATTTTTGGATTTTGCTGTATCACCAAATACGAACAAAACTAATGAAGTAATCAAGCTTAGCTGTACTTTGTATTTCGTGTTATTTGGCACCATAGTGCCTGAATATCCTCTTATAAAACTGCAAGCATAGTTTTAATACACTTAACTGTGTTGCTGGGAAAGCAGATAAATTGGTTGATGCCACTTTCACGTATATGCACTGAACTATACATAGCAGCCAGTTTGTTTTAGCATAAACATAAAGATTAGCTCACTAATTAACTTGCGATATTTCAAAAGGAACACAAAGTGAAGGACGGGGATAATATTCTGAGAAAAACTCATAAATGTACTTAAAAATAAACTTTACATATCCCCCCTCATTTCTTTCTTTTCTGCATAGCTCAGAAAGTGTGTCTCTGAACAACCCGTAAAGGTTTAAAAATGTACGTAATATGAGACATTTAAATGAGTTTTACTCAAAAGGAATACTACAAGCATCAGTGTATCTTTATATGAGCCTCACCTGTGGTATTTGTAATTTGTAGTCTGGATGCAGAGTTGCGCAACGTGGTGTCTTGACTACAAAAAAAAAAATAAAATTCTCCTTTTCCCCCATAAAAATGTATAACTTTATTATCAGAGAATATTATTTCTTGTAAATTAGGTAATTTTTATTGTATATTTACCTTTATAATTGGTGGTTTTCTCTTGTAAATTTAGGAATTTTTTGAATTTTTTCTCTCTAATTACCACCACGTCCAGCCTCTGGCCTTCATTTGCTTGAAAACAGGCAACTCCATTTTTGTAGATTTTCAGAAAACACTTTTTTTTGTTGTTTGCTTGAGATAACATCAATCAAACTGAAGTTGACTGGATTTGACTCAGTAGAAATGACATAACAAAAACAGAGATAACTTAAGTTTGATTGATATTGTCTCAGGTAGACGATGGAAAAGTGGGTTTCCTGAAGGTTTGTGAAGATGGAGTTATCTGTTTTTGCAAATGAAATCTTCTATGTAGTGGACTCTTGTTTGGGCCCAGTACTTTCTGGTGCCTCCATTTGTTTCCTGCTAAGAATTTGGGAAGTCATTGCTGTTGTCCAATCAGTAGTCCAGTGCTTATATTCCAATGAAACCTCAACTGTTTGACATCTTTACATTTCTGTATTATACACCAGGTTATCTGTCCTCCCCATTTTCCAGCCTCTATTCTAAGCTAAACTAAATATGTGATGACTGCAGCTTCATGTGTATGTATACATGTAGGTATAGATTATAAAATAAAACATTGTCTTACTCTTGACCACTAAAGTGACATTGATTTCAGTTCCTCCCACTGCGTTGGACGTGGTGCACCTGTACTCGCCGCTGTCTTGAACCTGCTCCGTGTCCCTCACAGTCAGATTGACCCATGCAGATGTTCGCAGCAGCTTGTACTTGGAGGTGTCTCGGATGCTCACACCCTGGTTGTTCAACCACTTGATTTCATTTGCGGGAAGGTAGTTGTCTATCAGATTGCAGGTGAGCTGCACATCGCTGCCCTCATACACGGACACGACTCTGCGCTGCGTCAGCAACACTGGTGTCTCTGCAGGTGATATTGTTAAAAAAAATGAATCAATTAAGAGATCGTGTGTGCTATTTGCTGCATGGTGAGAATGTGCACTGACCCAGGGCGAGATTGCAGGTCTTGGTTTGGACCACAAGTGGGTGCTTGGCATGGCAGGTGTAGGGTTTCCCACGGCGAGCA